GCTCACAGTTCCCAGTGATGCTTTTTCAAAGCTATGACTTAGCGCCCTGGAAAATATTTTTAGATGTACAATAATCTTGAAGCTATCTTCAGTAGTGACCAAAAATAGAAAATTATCATTTTTTTCCCTGCTACTATTCCACAAAGGTGCTTTTCCGTCATTTCTGGGTAGGAGAGAGCATATAAATGGAAAAAAATTTCTCTCAGACTGAGATATGGGAGAAATGTTTTAGGTATCCACTGTTAAAAGCTAAGAGAGCTCTGCTCTCCTCCTTTCTGTGGTGCAGGCTGGGAGGTATTTGTAACAGTGAGGCTTTGGCTAGAAACTCTTGGAGAGGTACCAGAGAAGGACAGGCTGGTAGAGACTTAAGGACACAGTTTGAAAGTTCTCAGTGAAATTAGTACCATGCTTAGTCAAAATATGTTTGCTTGTTGGCCCCTCGTATCTAATCAGTCTTGCTGAGCTGCCTCTTCTTGCACACACTGAACCAGCTATTTCATATTACTGATTTATCACCCTAATAGTGGGAGAGGTCGATTAGAATGAAGGGATGCAGCCTTTGCTGTGTCATAAATCCATGCCCTGTGATCTGTGCAGGAATAAATTGTTTCACTGCATATCAGCCATCTGTTTGAGTCTGAGGGGAAGGGTGCGTGGTAATCTCAGATCAAGTGTTAGGTGCAGCTGAGCACTCATATAGGCAATCCCCAGAGTGTTCTGGGTAGGTGTGGGCAAGTTTGGTCTTGCAAGTCTCTGTAGTTTTGAGGCTCCCACATCTTCTCTGTGCCCTACAGAAGCAGATTTCACCAATTCTGGTTTCTTTTAGAAGCAGGAGCGTTGTAGCCTGCTGCTCTAACGTGTTCTGCACTCATCTCCAGCCTCACAGCACCCAGTGTCTGGAGAGAGTCTGTGCACGTACCTGTGCCTGCTTGTTGTGCTCCAAGCAAAGTGTAAAACAAACCACTTTCCTAATGTACCGGGTAAATCTCATGCACATCCTCGCACGACTGCCCGTGAGTAGGAGCTGCTGCCCCGGTTCAAAGGAGAGGGCACTGGGTGCCTGTGTCAGGCTCCGCGGCAGCGAACACCGGAGCCACCAGCCTCACCCGGACAGAGGCACTTTGGGAGTTGCAGAGTTAAAGGTGATCCCTTCTTTGTCATGCACTGAGGAAGATGGTCTGTCCGTAACTGGTATCTCATTTGCAGAAAGAAGAACTGAAGCGGAGGGGGGGCAGATGGTTTCCAGTCACTCTGCAAGCCAGAGTCAGAGCCAAGACTACAACCAGTTCTTGAAATCCCAGGCTCCATCCTCTATGACCTACTGTCTCTCTAAGCATGGCAAGGTTTTAATAGAAAACAACCCCTTAATTTGGAGCAAGATTTGAGAAAAACGTCCCATTCAATTACTTAATTATAGGTGAACTATAATTATAAGGCACAAACATGTCTGGCTTCAAAGCACCAAGCAAAAAAAAGCAGAAAAGATTATTTGTTGTTTAATTTAGCAGAGGAAGGTGGCTGATGATACATGGGTCTAGCTGACACCTAGCAAGTTGTGTGATCCTATTTGTTAATCTTTTTAACTTTCCATTTTATTAGGATAGGGTTTCAAGAGCAAATAGGATAAATGAGATTAAATCTGTCACCCTGAATTACTCTGCTGTGAATTATGAGCAGAATCAGTCTATGTCGAAGAAGTATAATTATGAGGAAAATGCTGCCTGTGTAATTGTGTGCTTATTCATAAGAATTTGAGATCCGTAATTATCTCTAGCATGCCATGGTGGTGTGTGCTGGCTCTTAATTTTTACAGTAAACAAAACTGTTGAAGGGTTCTCACCCGGGATAGTTATTCCCTGCAGCATGGCTGGAACCTGCAGCAGTAGCAGGATCATCCTTCAGGTCTCCTGGTTCAACTGAGAGATCTAAATTAACTTGGAGTAGAAGGCCCATCGTACGTTGTTTTCACAAGGTGCCAACACAGCTAGCTTGAACTTGAGCAGGCAATGAGGAGTAATGGCCATGGGGAACAGAGAGTCTTTGGAGTTGTAAATATGCCAGATGAGGCATATCTAGCTGCTTATGCAAAAAGGAAGTCGTAACGCATCTGGCACTGTCCCCTGTCACTTGACTTTTGCCTGGTCCAAGGACACTGCCTTCAGCCTCTGCGATGACCGCGGTTCTGCAGGTGCTTCTGCCCACACAAAGGCTGCAGCTTTCTCTGGCGGTACTTAAGCTATAATAGAAAGGGCAGGGGTCGGCACTTGGCATTTTCACTTTGGGATGTCAGTGCACATCAGAAATGCTGGAGTTCAGTTATTATCTCAGTCAAACCTGGTGCTGACGCTCCACTAGGGGACGGTACGCTGCCCTCTGGCTCCACTTAATTTATTTGGTCTTATAGAGTTACCTTCATGCTATATAATTCCACAGTGAGGGTCAAAGGCACAAAGACGAGAGCCCGTCGCAGGCAGGGTGCACGACAGAGCAGATCCCGAGGCGCCGTCACCCTCGTTCCGGGCTGGAGCGGGACAGCGGGTTGACTGCCCTGCAACGCCTCTGCTCGGCGCAAGGGTGAAACGGGGTCTTGCATGTAACCAGTTACGATTCCCAGGGGATCAGTAAACCACGAAGGCACTGAAGCAGTAGCTTAAGGTTAAAGGGATATAAAAGGCAAATACAAATGTTAATACAAAACTTTGGAAAATATATACATTGTGTACTGGATGATGTTGATGAATGACAGTATATTACTCACTTGGGATCACAGTGTCTGGGAGGGAGAAGTTGTACAGTTTTTCCTATTTGAAAAAGACAGTTAATTTACTAACTTAAGGACCCAAGGAAAAATAGCTTACGTGGGTACTTAAAAGTACATTGTGCTACCACAGCAGTGGTATGGTCTTGTTCTTATAAATCCTATTGAAATGTTGGTTTCCCTAACCAAAGACAGGTTTGAATCTGTGTGTTGTTCATCTGAATTCATAAAAGCTTTTGTCAGGAAAAGCATCTGAAACGTTTATCTAGATTTGCACCATACATGAGCATTATTGCAGCTGGAAGTAGCTCTACTGGAGAGAGGATATAAACAAAATTTAAAAAAAATCACTATGGGTCCTGCTCGACCGTTTCTGTAACTTTCTCCTTAAGGCATAAAGGATGCAGAGAATCAAAAGCCAGACTTTTGCATGATGGTATAGTGATAAGAATATCTGCCAGTTCTGGATTAGAGTTTCTGTTACTTTACCTAAGACTATGTGTGCAGTAGAGGAGAGGAATGGAGAAAACTTGGAGAAAAACTTTGAAAACTTTGCTTTTTCTTCTCCCCTGGTCAGCCTAAAGGTCTGGTCGAAGGGCAGACATACTGCACTCCCAGTGTCCCAGTTCCTTTGCCCTGTGCACGATTTGTCCGTCCTTTCACTCTCTCCAGCCCAGCCCAAATGAAGAACATGCAAGCAAAGGACCTTTAGAAAGCAGGTTGTGGTAGTGCTGCCCCGTGCAGCTGAAGGTTAACAGGTAAGCTGTGCAGAGAAGGGAATCGCATGGCACTGCTGGCTCATGAAGAAATGCAGCAGGAAAACGCGGTGCCCTTCTCATGCTGGCCGCAGGAACATGCTTAACAGCACTGTTTCAAGGTCAACAGCACCATTGCCAGCTGCTCAATACAGCACATCGGTAGCACAAACTGTGCCAATTAGATTTGGGAAAGGCTGGTATATATTTCTTTCTCTCGCAGGCTTCAGCCTGGCAAATGAGCACGATCAACTGTAGATGTAAATCAGACAAAATATGATCCGGAATATGTGGGCCGATATATGATTTATGCTAATGGTGGCAAAGTATTATGGTAAAGCAGCTGCCTGCACAGCAGCTCGGAGGAGTCCCTGGCTGTCGAGGCAGGTGAAAAACTGGGGGGCCACTCAGGCAGAATGGGCTTTACTTTTTTCAAAGAGATTCTTTGTCTCATATTTTTCCTTATTCATATTTGTAAGGTTCATGAGACTGATAGGATTTTTCCCTCCAGCAACTCTATAACAATAAACCTTGTATGCAGAACAGAGAAGCAAATTTGATCTAGGGTTTAGAGATAAGCTTTACAGAGGCTGTAAATGGTAGAATGAGTAAACACTGCTCTTTATTGGGTAAAGACACCTGTAAGTTTAATATGGAAACTGGCTGCACTCTTGCCTCGGTCCTGCCCTCTGCTGCTGGTGGAAAGCATCCTTCTCTGCAGCTAGAAAAGTTTTCTCATAATTAGTAGGCGTTTCTCCAGCCTCTTCCCTTTCCTCCTTTACCCTTTACATTCTGCTTCTCTAGTTACGTCAACCATGCGTGCAGCAAGCGTTTCAGGGGTTTCCGAGAAGTGTTCGTGTGGCAGATGCCATCCACTTTCTTTTTAGTTTTGCATGGTTATATGCTGCTGACACCTGCAGAGCCAGTCCTCCTCCTGACTCAAACTTGCCCCCAGGGAGAGGTTTTGTAGAGTTGCTTCCAGGCGTTATTCAGAGTTGAAAACGTGCTGCTGAGGGCAGGTGTGACGAAAGGTGGGTGTGCTTCTGTTTGTACATGCTGTGAAGATCAGTGGCGTAAAAATCCTGTTCTGCTTTATGCCAGCGAAAATTAGAAGACCAATTGTGACATGATGATACCCAGGCTGTATGCAGGGGCAACAGACATGCAGCAACAGGATGCAGCTTTTGCACAGAGAAGCAAAATGTCAGTTTGCAAGCAAAACAAGGATGGCGGAGCCCTGCGAGCCACGTGGGCACTGCTCCTTTCTGCCCTCTGGGACAAAGCAGCTTTATGAGGGATGGATGTGACGTACTTCAGACCACTGAAATGGGCTCTGTGGAAATTTCTCCTGTTAAGTCACAAATTCAGCCTTGCTTTATGGCTAGTGGGGAAGAGGAGACTGCTTCTCTGATGTGATGATGGTGGATGGGAAGGTGCTACTTGATACAGCCAAAAGAGCCCTTACCTGTAGCTTTTCTTCTCCACAGGTGCCCCTGGTTAACAAAAGCCATCTCCCCTGCCATCCCAGTGTACAATGGGCTCGTGTTCCTGTTCGTGCTTGCAAACTTCAGCATGGCGACTTTCATGGACCCTGGAGTTTTCCCACGAGGTAACAGGATGGGACTGGAGAGTGTGGCAGGGGGAATGAAAACCTAAGCCAAAGGAGGTATCTGGTATCCCAATTCTCTCTTTCCTACACAATCTCTTTTTCTCTCGTATTCTTTCCTGTAGACCTTTTTTTTTTTCCTTCCTTACGCTCAGCTGGCTGTAGAGATGGGACAGTAGCGAAGTGCCGAATACCCCCATCCCTTGTCTGAGGTGGAGAGGTTTGTTCTCCTTGCACGTGGAGTGGCAGTCCAGGGCACAGCGCTGGACGGCGTGGTTCTCCTTGAGCAGGTCTCCTGACCGATGCGACTGTGATTGTCATCCCCTGTGTCAGGCTGGCACGTTGGATTTAAGTCACTGTCTTCACACTAGGTAGCTGAACATGGTGCAGGGGGAGGCTGAACCTTCCAAAGCTGCATCATTAAAGCAGATCTTCCTTCCTAAAAGGCACAGAACAAATGCATAAGCACTGACTGCTAAAAATACAATGATTAAGACCTGCCTTAGAGTGGAGTGTCTAAAAAATATATACATTTAAAGAGAGATGCCTGTTTAAATTAGCGCTGATGCACAACTGATTATATAGGATAAAGATGGCTCAGCTCTTGTAAGTGGAACCGCAGAGCAGCTATTTCTTTTAACACATCCTAATGAGCGAATTATCACCTCATTTTATCCATCCTCCAATAATCATTCACGTGCAGTTTGCAGCAGAGACTGCTCCAGGCAATCTGGCTTACCCAACAGATCTGTGCTCTTTGCAAGCTGTCCTTTCTCACCTCTGTTCAGGGAATTCAATACCCACTTTGAACTGCCATGGTACCTGACAAGAACAAGGTACCTGTCCTGCTGGCTTCCCTGAATAGCAAGCGCCAGGTTTCTGCAGGTAGCAGGGTCTAATGATGAGCCAGTCTTCTGCCAGTCCTTTCAGCTCAAGCTTTTGCGCCTCTGATTAAGTGTTGTAGCACTCCAGTTAAGGAAATAGTTTTGTGTAAAAGCAAACTGAGGCAATGGCAAGATTCAGTCACTTATGCAAGATCATGTGAGCCACTGTTTAGGTGCTTAAGGGTCCAAATAGGTGCTACTGTGATTTTCAAAAGAGCTTAAGCACATAGGGCTTTGTCTAGATTCCTGGATTTTTTAATTCCTTCATCTTAGCATGAAGTTGTTGAGATAACAGTTGTTGAACAAGCTCAAGCTGGGAGATTATCAAAGTGCTCTTGGCCTTCAGTAGGAGGGGTGTTGGAACAACGCTGTCCGGTTTTGAAAATCTCAGTCTGCGGATCTAATACCTCTGTGAAACAATACCTTTGTGCAACCTTTGTGCAATACCTTTGTGCAACGGCGCCTGCTGCCATCCACTTACGCAGCCCTACGAGTGACTCAGGACTGAGCGTATCATAAATTCACACCTTCCTTTACAGTTCTCCAACTTCCCCTGGCAAACAAGCTCTTTATTTTAGCCTGTGCATTTAAAGGAGAAAAGCGCAGGGAGATCAAATGGGAACTCGATGCTTTCTCATCCCTTTCCCTCCCTTCCAGCCTCCCTTAACAGAGGGGAGCCTGGAGCAGCGCAGGCAGAGGAGGAGTTTCCCCCAGCTCTCTGCTCTCCTGCCCAGTTCCCTTCATCTCTGGCCTTGGCCTCATCTCCGAGCCCTGTGCGTGGACCTGGCCTGGGAGAAGGCTGAGGCCGGGGAGCTGCCCTTGGCGCAGAGCAGGGAAAGGATGAGAACAGGGATGGGAGCCATCCTGGAAGAAAGAGATGGAGTAGGAGCTTAGATGCGTGAAAGAGGCAAACTGATAAGGGAAAGAAAGGATGGAAAAGGCTATAAATACCAGTGCTGGGAGGAAAGGGGAGCAGATGTTATTTCAAATTACAAGTGTAGCTAAAAAAGCAGCCGCCACCCCACGCCGCCTGCAGAGCTGCCAGCCCAAGGAGTACAAAAATTGTAAGAATAATTTAAAATGAATATAGAGTGGATCTATTTGCTTTCTGTTCTTGAAATTATACATTTAGCCTTCTTGCTTTTTTTCAAGCCTTTTAGCATGTTTCTGATGGTTACAAATTTACTTCAGAAACGATACAACAAGCAAGTGATCACAGAAGCTGAGACTCTCATGAAGTCTCGTGATTCTAGGATCGGGAGCTTTAAGAAAGCCACCAAATATCACAAGACTTGTGATAAAAACATGAGACTTGGCTTCCCTATGCCGACAAATAAGAGTGTGGGAATCAGCACAGTAAGATACTGTCCCCTGCCAATGTATTCTTATGCTCAGATCGCCGAAGTATCGCTAGGTAATAAACAGATAAGATGTATGACATGGTCATATCATATAAGCTTATATGCTCTCTGGCAGGGAGAACTTAAGGTGTGGGGGGGAAGTAAAACAAGCTTTTCTTTTATTGCTGAGGAGAGTCTGAATCAAACTCCCCAATCCATTACTCATTTTTGAGTCCTGGCTTTGCTGGCCTTCTGAATTATCCTGCTATGAATCAGGATTGGCTCTGTGTAAGTGAGTTGCCAGTGATACACCAAAATGAATCAGAAGACAAGAAAATATTAAGTTTCTGAAACTGGGGCTACCCTGACAAACCTGGTTTGCAGTCTGGGTCAAGGTTTGCGGTGTTCGTTGCTGGCTAATTATAGATACCAACTATGAACTGGGTTCTAGTATTTTTGATGTGAACCTATTTTATGAGAACTCTTCCATTCCTCAGCTGAGAAACTGGGAGATGCAGATTTCTTTGTAGACAAATGACACATATCCTTGATACTTCTAAGTATGTGTCAAGTGCTAGCTTTGATAATAAACAGTTTCTGCAAGACTAACGTGTCTTTATGTGTGTATGTATATGCAAGGTACAGATTTTTGTTTGCATAGTCAGTATTTTTACAAGAGCTTAATGGTTTGACCATTCTAGTGTCTTACCTGTACGTCCACACAAATGTATTATTTGGCATCGACTAGTTTATAATGGTATTGAAGAACCTACAGATTGTATTTATAGAAGTGCCTAAGGGATTTAGAGGCTAACTCCCACTAAGAGTCTCAATGATTAGTTATGAAGGAAAATTATAGAGAATGCTGCCAGTACAGTACTCAGTTTCCACACACAGACGTTAATCCACAGAATACTTTTGCAAGGTAAGTCCTGTAGCTGAGCCGGATCCCAAGCTCATATAAGCGAAGGGAGAAACTCCCTCTGAAGTCAATGGAAATTGCATCATTTTTGTCACTCTATGGATACCTCTTCTAGAGAAGATTTAATATAGAACTAAGTGACAGTGATTGATGCCCCACTGAGACAAAATTATCAAATTTCACCTAATTTGGAGCCAGTCAACCAAAGCTAGCTGCACTATAATGTTTAACCAGGTGTTAAATAGATGTGAACTTCTTAGATTTTTTCTGTCAGAAGGAAACAAATAAAGATTAAAACAATCTAGAATGAAAGAACTTTCATGACCATCATTCTTCTTTTTTCCTTTTCTTTCCAATAGAGATTTATAGTTGTGCACTATAGACTGGCTTTTATTCTATGCATTTGTTTTTAAATGGCCTCTTCTCTTAAACAGGGCAGCACTTAGTTGAGATGATAAACCATCCACTGGGTTGTCTCTAATAAGATGACTCTGCAGTATTATCATCCCCCCCCTTACTAAAGGCGAACAGAGGCTAAACGACTAGCCTCAGGCCACAGAGTGAGAAAATTAGACCATAGGATTCCCGACTCCCAGTGCTGTGCTCAGATCACTAGACTATGCTGCCTTTGAGAGAGGGGACATCTTCCCAGTTACGTCCTGTTACTAAAGCTAGAGCATTCTGGGTGTGCTGTGAAGAAGTGAGCACTGAGTATGCTATAGGCACGTAAGGACTGTTGCAAGGGCTCATCACGGGCACCTGAACTGCTTCTGAATTGAATGTTTCACTGCAGCATTATACTCCCCAGGCAGCAGGTCTGGCGTTGGCAGTGGGCTGACACCAAGCATTGGGTAAATTGAGACTCAGGGTTGTTGGGGCTGACGTTTGGTTTTGAGCTAACACAATCTTCGTCTAACATCTGTTGATGTGACTTCTTTTGCCTTACGTGCTGGAAGAGCAGTGTTGAATTAATCCCAGATGCATGCAGCAGAACTCCTCACAACAAGATGATTGGGTGATGTATGGGTTTCCACCTCCACTTTGGCTGTAGTATCCAACTCGTCCATTCAAACACCTCTCAGTCAAGCCAGTAGGGCTGGTGAGTACAGCTGCCCAGCACTCCCTTGGGAGTATAGTCTCAGGTGCTAAAATGAACTCAGGTTGTTCAAGTGTCCTGCAGCCAGGACAACCCGTTCTGACAGTTCATCACTTCCACCACTCTTTATTCCTCCAACAAACCCAAAAGCATGTGCAGTGCCCGGTATCCAAGGCACTGACTGAATTAGGTCTTTTATCTTTACCCTCTGTTATTTCCACTAACTTTTATTTTTGCCTTGAGCAGCAGATGAAGACGAAGATAAAGATGATGACTTCCGAGCTCCACTCTACAAGAATGTGGAGATTAAGGGAATCCAAGTACGGATGAAATGGTGTGCCACCTGCCACTTCTATCGTCCCCCACGCTGCTCTCATTGCAGTGTCTGTGACAACTGTGTTGAGGTAACACTCCTGTCGATTACGTGATCTGATGGCTTTTTCTGAGTGACGAGGTTGCTTGTATTATTGGATACCTGCAGTTAGATGATTTCCCCAGCATTTTAATTCTTGAAAGTCCCCAGCTTTAGCCTCATTGATGGTTCCCTACTATTATGTACCACTTGAAACGTCAGTCCTTCGTATGATGTACGCTACATGTGCAGTTAAGTTTGGTGCTAGTTTTGTTGCCTGTGATAATTACATTAAAATTTTACAGTGCTGGCTATAGCTTCCTTGGGGTAGCTTCAGGGTTGTGAATATAGTAAAGGGGTGAAAGGGCAAGCTACAACGCAGAGGCAGAGTTCAGGAGAGCAGGAAATCCAGGGTGGACCCTTCTAGCTTGTGTGCTTTATCAGCACAGGAACCAGTTTGTTCCAAATTAAATGATGAGCTCCAGGTGATACAAAAGTGTGTGCTCGGTCTCCTCTGTAAACTGTAGTACAGGCAGTGGTGCGTGAGCTTTAGGAAGACCAAACTCAGAGTTCAGTGAGTGGTCTCAAATCAGTGGAAGGACCCCATGTTTGTTTCAACTTTCCAGCTTAGAGTATGAGCTCATTCCTGCTCTGAATTATGGGGCTTTCATGCTTCTTGATAGCCCAGAGGTCTTGGTGAAGCACACAAGTGTTTTAAAAAATAACCCCCAAGGTGTGATTTAGGGCTATAAACATCTTCCAAACTCCTAAGTACAGAGCACTGTATCCACAGCGCTGTCTTGCCAGGGGGGTGTCTTTATTTCTGAGCTACAAATTCCATTTCTTAAGGATCATTTCTGCTGCAAGGTCTTTTTTTTTTTCCAATAGAAAGATGAAATCTTTATTAATGTCTAAAATGTATTCACCTGTGCCTATTAAATGAAAGGGATTGTGATCACAAAGGCAAAAATCACCAGTGTTAGCTGTGGTGCTGTGTACCTCATCTTCGTCCTAACCCTCTTGGCCATAAGCAAGAGCATAGTCCTAAAGAAAGCAGCACAGGTGCTCGTGTGAGAAAGGCTGCCTGGGCTTATCTTGTGTCAGTCATTTTCTCCTTTTGAGGAACAAACCTATAATTTATAATTAGCTGGAAGCAGTGCTGGGCCTGGTAACCATCGGTAGATAGGACAAGCTCGTCCTGTTGTAGGAGGCCTTAGAAGGATACTAGGTCTGAGGGGCCCTGAGAACACCAGGTGGAGGATCATTGCCACAACAGCTGTTTTACTCAACTGCTGTTAATTGTTGAACAAGATTTTCCATAGAAAACCTGAAACATATATTCCTAGTTTTAAAACATATGTTTTCACTACGTCTAGATTTCAAGGATTGTTTGGATGATGGTCAATTCTCAGTTGTCCCATGAAATTCCTTCCTTCTGCTCTCCCCAGAGGCTCGGCATGATAATTTCAGCAACTGAAGTTTTGCCAGAAGAAGATTGCCCAAAACTCACTAGTGTAAACACTTGCAATTTCATGAGGCCGTAAGGCCTCCAGAGGAGTCAGTTTTGTGCAACAGAAAGGAAAATGGGGGAGAACCCCAGAGTAACCTAAATAAATTAGCAGCACACAAGGTCACTCTGCCTGGCTCTCAAGAAGCTTTTCTAATGCTCCTTACTATTCTAGTAGGCAAGGAAGAAGCTCTCATTGTATAATTAAATTATGAATACTGGGCAGGAATATAGGCAAAAAGCATTAATGACTTCTGAATCAATAAATCATTGTCTTAAACGGTGTGCTTTATTGATTCCTGTGATGCTTATTTCCCGCTGCACCTGCCTGTTCCAGCAGTGCTTGGAGACAGCAATAGGAGAAGCTCTACTGGCATTTCCATACAGAGCCCAGTCAGGCTTGTAATTTACATCTTTTCAGTTTTAGGCTAAAACATGTGATAAAAGTTCTTATCCCACTTCTGAACCAATTTGATAAAAATAAGCAAACAAGAAAAAAATGGCACTTGAAGAAATAAAAACAGTTGAAACCTAAAACGTGCTGTGACCAGCTGGACCAAAAAAATGAATGCGTGACAAAAGTAGTCAGATTTTTATTTTCTTTGCTCAAGTGTTCACAGTGGATATTTATACAGTTCCATAATCCATGGATTATTTTTGAGCTGCATACAGCCAGATTTGCATCATAGACATGTGCGATGTCAGCATTTCAGACGCATCTTGAAATGATTTTTACTAAATTGCCTCTGTCATTTTCTAATGTGCTTTGAGATGGCTCTAATCCATTTCTTCTATTTTGTAAATTTTCAGTTAAAATGTTGTGCAAAACTTAAAAGTATGAAAACCCCTTTGCCATCGTTGGGGAATGCTTAAAGATAGTATTACCGTAAATCAAAGAATAAACCATTAATTTACTGATATAATGGGAGTGTAATGTCTGTTCTGAATAAGGCGAAAGTAGGAAGGGTTTATTTCTGAGCACCTGATCTTGTTTTGACTTATGCGCATCAAGAATAATCCCATTGAAGCCAGTGGATTTACATGCTTATAAATCTATGTAAGGGCACTTCAAAAGTGTCTACAGCTTGCTGTCTTTATAAGTCTTTTGTTAAAAGGGATCCAGCTTTACGAGGTACTTTGAGCGTGACTGAGACAACTAGATAGTTTTGAGTTAGTAACTAATGAATTTTACCAGAACTTTGCCTGTGTCTTAGCCAGATGTTACTTTCCATTGGGCACCTGCTTCGTAGAAAAATAATTTTCATGAGGCCCATAATTTATAGTGAACAGGCACTAGATTAATTCAGTTACATGTTAATATAGAAATACGGGGGGAGAATTCTTTCACTAGCAGCAGTATTGCATCTTTGAAACATTGTAGGTAACAAAAACTTCATTGTAACTGGCTCCTCATGATAAAGAATGATAAAAAGTAGTGCTCCTGTCAAGAGAGAAATAGTCTGTCTTTCTTATATATATCTGCATCTTGAACCCCGTAAACACCCAGTACTTTGCCATCCATAGGCATAGACACCACTGGGTCTCAAAAAAAGCCTTATAAAGAGGGTGTAGCATGCTGTAAAGCCGCAGAGCTATCCTGGTGTGATTTTATGGTGATGGATGATGATGGTTCAGACTGATCTCTGAGACAATGTGTTTCCTTTCACCAGTTGAATATCATTCCCTGTCTCTCCCTTTCTTTACAAGGATTTTGACCATCACTGCCCATGGGTCAACAATTGCATAGGACGGAGGAACTACCGCTATTTTTTTCTCTTCTTGCTATCCTTAAGTACGCACATGGTTGGAGTATTCACCTTTGGGCTGATCTTTGTATTAAACCATATGGAAAAGCTGGGGGCAGCTCATACCACCATTACGTATCCTTCTTTTTGGTCTTTCAAGAATCAAGGTGGTCCTGAGGAAAATGTGAAAGACTGAATGCAAAGATTTGTCTTCCTGGAACTGGTGGAGGTCTACTCCTCTCCTGACTCTCTGTCCTTTTTCCCTGTAAATGTTTAGTGCAGGTTTTCTTCTGTACCTGTCTGACCTATGTAGCCACCGATTATCCCCAAAACTGTGGCTGACCTTCTGTCTTTCTCAGTCATTGCCATGGTGACCCACCAGAAAGAGATATGCTGCATTCCTAAATTTTCTTTCCAATTGGATGTGACTCTGCACTGCTGGGTACTATTTACTATATTTAAAACAGATGATACAGTAGATTTTTCCCTCCA